TACATTAGTGGACATTAATTTTCATTTATAATATTTGTATTTCATAAAAAATGCCAAGAAATTGCATTGGCAATGACAAATTTGTTAGAGAGAGATTGAGTGAAAGCAGAACAACTTTATCAATTGGTTCTGTATCTGGCATTTTTGCGCCTTTGTTAAAAAACCATGCAGCTATTGATATAGAAAAGAGAAGATGGAGAAACCACTACCTTATCATTTTGATGAGGATGAAAAAAATAAAATGAATGAAACGCCGGTTATTTAATTTAAATAAATTAAATTAATTGAGTTACACATTACCTTTTTGTACAGTTTTTACTAAAGCAATTTTTAAGTAGTTTTAGTCTTAAATATCCTTCCTTTTTATATAATATAACTATAGGAAAAGTGGCTTTAATTTTTTGTTCTATTTCAAACCGTTATTATTTGTTTCAAGTTTATATATTTTATTTCTTTTAATAAAGTGATTATAGCGGTTTTATTTCAAATTTGTTAATCTGTTTTATAATCCGTTTATATAAACAACATGCAGTAAATTTCAAATTTGCAGCGGGTGACGAAATGTGACGAATTTTAAAGATTGTCATGAAGAAATTTACGTTCTAGAGGTTGGCAACATTGTCGCTACGTCACTACAAAAATTCCACTACTCTCCGCCACAGCCAAGTCTTTTAGTATTTTAACNCCTGGGATATCCTCATTTAGTCCTATATATCCTAATCGGGGATCTCAGTCCTCAGGATATCCTCATGATATTTAAATAAGACAAGTAGAACCTATCAATATCCTAGTTGGGGATATCCCAGGTAAAGCCAGACAGGATGTCCTGCAAATATCCTATGAAGATATCAAAAGCCGAACAATCTCCAATTTTGGGATATCCTAGGCAAATTCTATAGTGATCCCATCCTGGGATGGTTCTTGGCTTGGCAGTGATGGTGCATGCCAGGGAGACTAGTCTCCATGGTGCATGCGCAGTATGACATATTGACGTATGAGCCGTATCTCGCCATTTTCTGTGTCTTCTTTGTTTTATAAGTGCGTGACTCAATGACGATTTTATTCGTATATAAACTACCTTTGGTATTAAGATTAAGGTATTAATATCGTAGAATAAACATATAAGTTAGAATCGTATATAGTATTAACTAATTTTGTTCTTACTGTTTGTATCATGCAATAATTATATAATGCCTAAAGAACGTATTAAAAAAAAACATATTTTCAAATATTTTTTATATACCATTCAAAAATTAGTATAGTTTTTATCACCATTTGTAATAGATGTGTATAAGTGGTATCACCAAATCTACATAATATGTTCAAATCTATAATTTTTAGTTCTGAGTGTGTTGTATATAGGTGTTCTGACAAAGGATTGTATTGTAACCCATAAATTTAATTAATTTGTTATAGTTCTCTGTCTCTAATATTTGTACCGACATTGTGAGTTATAAGGATTACATTATAAATCGTAGGCAGTATTAGCTATTAGAATAGCTTAAATTTGATATCAACAGATTATAAAATCAGTTCATGAAATTAGAATAGTCTTGTTAAATATATTTAATGAAAATTTTTGTTTTGTCACTTGTCTACAATGTAAATGTATTATTAACATATTTTTTCTACAAATTTACAGCTGGAATTTCACAAGGACTTCATAATCACAGTCCTTACACCTGTACATTTGAATGCCTGAAGGATTTTTATGAGTCAGATGGTGATGTTTGATATTTTCCCTGTATTTTGTTATGTAATCGCAGTCATTACACTCGTTTTACAGCTGGAATTTCATAAGGACATTACACAAAAAATTGACCAGAAAAAGATAATGGAGAAAGCATTAAAACATGCCACGGCATGAAAATGAGAAACTATAAGAAGAGACCAGATCAACAGCACATAAGGAATAGTTATACATATAATACAAATAATAACTTAGTGTGTATATAACTTTGTTTATATTCTGTTATAAAACAGTTGGTTTATATGTATCATAGAAAGATTTGATTATATATGTATATATATAAGTACATGTGAAATTTGCTTTTTAAGTTTATATTTATAATGTGCAATGAATAAAAAAATTCAGTTTAATTTTTAATTTTTTTATTCAAGAACTCAGTTTAAAAATAAGTGCTGTTAAAGTTTATATTTTATTCTCATGAAGTACTTTAGGTCTTATTTGTTCCAGTTAAAAAAAATGCCTCAAACCAGTTTTATGAATAATATGAACCATTGATGTGTAGGTATATCTAAATAATTTGGAGATGTTTCTGAAAACTTGTATGTAGTCTTGTCTGTAGTAGTTGTTGTCTTAAACAGAAAAATATCTGCCGGTGGCTATGTTACAGAATTTTCTCGTCAGATTTTAGTAAGTGGGTGAGTAAAATGTTTAAAAAATNATATATATATATAAGTACATGTGAAATTTGCTTTTTAAGTTTATATTTATAATGTGCAATGAATAAAAAAATTCAGTTTAATTTTTTATTTTTTTATTCAAGAACTCGGTTTAAAAATAAGTGCTGTTAAAGTTTATATTTTATTCTCATGAAGTACTTTAGGTCTTATTTGTTCCAGTTTAAAAAAATGCCTCAAACCAGTTTTATGAATAATATGAACCATTGATGTGTAGGTATATCTAAATAATTTGGAGAAGTTTCTGAAAATTTGTATGTAATCTTAAACAGAAAAATATCTGCCGGTGGCTATGTTACAGAATTTTTTCGCCAGATTTTAGTAAGTGGGTGAGTAAAATGTTTAAAAAATACATACATGTATCAACAATGGAATACTTCTTACAGAAAAATGTTAAAATGTCTTTAAATTTCATGAAAAGAGAATTTTAAAACTACCCTTCATGTATTTATGACGAATCTAATCAATCAGATCGAAAATATTGTATTATTAGATGGAGTGGAAATGGCAAGCAAATGTTTTGGAAATTAGGTACGTATTTGATCTATAGAAATATTTAATACCACCCTGCAATTTTTTTTATTAGCCCAATAAGTACTAAAAATAGCCCAGCTAATGTCCTGTGGACATCAACAGTAAAGCCTACGTTCTCCTCATTTGATCCACTGATAACCTGACAATAGGCCGGCTGATGTCCTGAGGACATACACAGTAAAGCCTAGGACGTCTTCATTTGATCCACTGATAACCTGATAATCTCCTGCAGATAGCCAGGCGGATGTCCTCAGGACGTCACGAGCAAATCCCAGGAGGTTCCATTTGGATATCCCTGGTACATCCTGAGGTGATCGTGTAGCTATCCGAGGATATCCTATACATCATGAAAAGTTATCCTCAGTACATCCTACAAATGCCATTGTGCTGTGTGGGAGGGTAGCAGGGTTTGATGGACAAATTTGACATATGTTCTTCTTCAAAATTATGCAATAGGATCCCTACTAGCTTCTTATTCAATTGCCCCTTATGACGTCAGACTAGTTTTTAAGTAACACAAAAATTCATAAACGATTTCTACCACTAATTTGTCATATATTTAAAATTTGACTATACAGGCAGGTTCTTTTATATAAAATCTTTGACTCAACAACAATTTGTATATGGTTTGTTTTTATAGTGGACAACCCTGTAACTATAATATGAATATTTTTTAAATATGTATAATAAAATATCTTTGACTTTAAATTTCTAATTATTACATTCCCATGTTAATACCTCCAATTTGTACAGAAATTCCATATAAACAAATAGTGCTTATCCTCTTAGTCATTAATAATAATTAAAATTACTGGTACAAATACGTATTGTTAAAAGAAGAGAAATCGAATTTAATTCAATTTGAGTTAAAAAATTCTTAATAACAAGTGTAGCTTTACAGAATTAATATATCTACACATTTTTAATGGATTTTTTTGTCTTCTAGTCTCTATATTATTTTTAGAAAGTCTTGTAGACAGACATTCGTCGGCTGTCCCTTCCGTCATTCATCTGAATATAATTAAAAACCTAATCAATAATTTTTCAAAATTTTTTTCTTAACCTACTTTCAGTATAGCCATCACACATAAAAATAGTTAAAATAGGGTAAGCTAGCTGATTGGTTGAATCAAATGTGGCGCGCTACAGTCGAAGTTCTGTGAACATAAACATAAGTCCGCACTAGCTCTATCTCTCTCGCATACGTCTGTGCGATTGCCGATGATAGTTGGGCGAATCCAGTAGTTTATAAGGTCTATACGTGAAACTGACACATTTAACTTGAAATTGATTTTTATAAACCGATATACAAATAAAAAAGATAATTTTCTGTATCAATGGTAGGTTCCAAATGGTACCTACCAATTTGTTCCAAATACTAGGTAAATTATAATGGAACCAAATACCAAATTATAAAATTCTCCGTTTTTTTCTGGATACTCTAACCCTCTATCTAGGAAATTAAACCCAAATGATTTGGGGAGTAGGCCGAATGAGGTCCCGTAATCATACTGCAACTATTCACACCAGCCGCCTACTTAAATATTTTTATTTTTTTTTGTCAGTAAACGTTTAGTTTAAAAAAATAAACAATGCTATATGATACGTTTTTTTGAATATTTAAATTTTGTCAAACAAAAAAGTTTAAACTCCCACCAAGGTGCAGAAATTTTCGAAAAATTGTGTAAAATTTGACTATTACACTTTTTTTGGTTTTCAAATTAGTCGCTATTCCATATTTTTTTGAAAACTTTGCGAGCATGTATCTCCTAAGGGATGAACAATTTACTAAGGCCATTTTTATGCAAAACGTATTCTCTTTAGTCGTAGATTCATTCAGAGTCTCGCCTTCCAGGGCAGACTGCTTTAGCATGCTAATTTTGGAATACTAGATGTGTTTTAAAATAATATACAAGACAAAATTTTAAATAAGGAAATTGATATATAGAAGCATTAAGTTTTCATTTTTGGAACAAATCTGAAATTTAAAGGTAAGGGTAAGGGTAAGAAAATAATAGAATTTGTGTATAAGAGGTCTAATTTATTGTTTTAAAAACATACAATAAATATATGTATATATTTTTATATATATAGATGTGTATGTTTATGCTTATTATGTTATGCTTCATGTAATAAGTAAGGAATGTTTATCAAAGTTATTTCTTAGTTAAAGGCGTTAGTTAGCCTTTTTTAACGTCAACTGAAAATTAACTTTCACTTTGATAAACTGGTCAGAATTGTAAACCTGAAAAAAGAATAAAATTATCTTCACAAAATCAATTCAAATTATGATTTTACTGGACAATAGGATACATAAAATATTAAAGTTATTTCAACAAAATACGGAAAATTATACACATTAAATATAAAAAACACCGACACATACATAATACAAACTTTTATAAACAGTACTTCCCTTTATGTACATTACCATTCTATGTGAGTCTAGCAAGTATATAATTTACAAAAGAATTACATTTAAAAATAATCTGCCTAATTCTAATAAATAATAATGTTTATCATATACAAATTATCTAATGAAGTAAAATACACATCAAAATCACATAAATAATTTCTAACTTTTAACAATTATTACAATATATCTAATACATAAATGCATATGTATGTTTTTTAGACGGCACAAACATGAAGCTGTGGCTTATTTGATTTCTATTTCTATCTAAATATGCATAATAGCGGAACAGAATTAAGTACAATATTAATTTAAAATTTTGTTTATAACTATTGCCAAAATTAAGGAGAACCACAATTTTCTAAATAAGTATAAATAAGTAATTATTTACAACAATAAACTTCTACAAACTTAACTTAAAATACCGGACAGTTTAGTAATGCTTAATTAAAAATAGGATGGCAACCTTGGAATGTATATTTGCTTCTATTTTTAATATTATAGAAAAGCATATTATTACAAAACAATATTGTATTGCCTACTACACATATACCTATACTTAGCATAGGTAATCTTCCACGTAAAAGAATATATTATAATACACTAATAAGATTAATATAGAAAGCAATAATATAAATTATAAATAAATAACTGTAACAGGCAATCATGTATAAGGATGGTAATGTTTGTAAGCTAATAATCTCCTGGATGATCAGCACTTCCTTCAATATCTTGTTCTATGTCATCATCTTCATCGTCACTGGAATCATCAGCATTGTTGCTAGTAATTTGCTTAGGGAACGTATTTGGTTTGTTGATGATTGTTTCTAAATCAAAAAATGAAAAATATTTAGTTAACTGCAACTGTTAAAAAAGTTTATTGGGTTTAGAATAGAAGATCAAAATTACAGATGTATCTAATAAAAAATGACACTTGTTTTAATAAGCTGTTTGCAAATTTCAAAGGCAAGAGGACTTTCTGAAAATAATACTTAAGTATTAGAATTTTTCAAATCTTTATCCATTTATTATACATTGTAACTTTTACAATCAATAAGTCCTATAAAAATGGTTGAATTTCGAATACACAATAATGTTCATCTAAAAAATGTTTACGATGGTCATGTTAGCAATAGGCCAACCAGCAATAAAAAATCTTAATATAAAACTGAAACAATATTTTTTTCATAGTAAAAATACTTCGTCGGTAATTATATGTATATAAGGTGTTCGGAAATAGTGCTATTTGTCGACTCAAAATAAGTAAAAAATTTCATATAAACACGGGTCCGTAAATCCACCCTAAGGGAGGTAGACGCGCGTTTGAAGATGACTCTAAATAAATGGATTTTTGCTAATAACTTTTAACTGCTTTGTAGGAGAGGGATCAGTTTTGGGTGATAAGTTACCCCCCCGGTTTGCACGCCATAGCTTATAAACTGAAACAACTTATACTCTCAAATAATCATGTTTTTTAGTAGTAACTTATCATCCAAAACTTATCCCTCTCCTTCAAAGCAGTTAAAAGTTATTGACAAAAACCCATTTATTTAAAGTCATCTTCAAACGCGTATACCTAACATAGGGTGGATTTGCGGACCCATGTTTATATGAAATTTTTGTCTTATTTTGAGTCACCAAATCTACCTTCAAAGTGAAGTACCACTATTTCCGAACACCCAGTATACCACCATTTATAAAACAACAATAAACCTACTCCTAGATATCTGCAGAAGAATAATGTGTGAAAGATATTTTTTACATACTATATCCTGTTTTACAATTACTAAACATGCTTTATTTTACAAAAAATACTTTTTTCCGAGCAAAGGAATGAAGTTTTAATGGAAAAAATTCATTAACTGGTTTTATACCCAGAAAAACATGCTAAGAAGTAATAGCTATATCTTTTTCGACTGTATTAATATTATGATTCGAAATTACAAAAGAAAAAAGAGACATAAAACGTCGTAATTAGATAATAATTCGATGGCATTCTCTGAAAATAGAACTGTTTTTGGACTCGCAAGTCCAGAAAAATATTCAAAAAATATAAAGACAAAATATTTCACAGAAACCTAGATAGGACTTTATAATATCGATCTGTCACTATTAAGTTAGGAAAAAATAGTTGGTCCTCAAACTACGAGAGTTGGCCAGTGGGCTGCGTGGGTAAAAATAGAGTTGAAATATGTAAGAGTACCGGACAAAAATCAGAAACATTTTTTCGCAAAATAGGTAGGAGGCCCATGCAGACCACCCTTTCCTTTATAACCTAGGAAAAAAAGTACGTATATCTATTTAAAATAATTAATTACCAACACCTACTCGACAAATGTAACGCACAGTGGGTGATATGAAAAATGTTCTTTTTAATAACTTTTCATTTAAATATGAGATTTGACAACAATGCATAACTCAATTGTGCATGCATTGTGATTAAAGCGCACCATCGTTTGAGGTCGCACTAGCTCGTTCAGAGACGGTGTATGGAAATTGCTTAAAAAAGGTTAAAAAAATTAACGGAACTACGGAATTTGAAAAAATAAACTATTGACACGTGGTTTAAAGGTCAAAGGTAGCCTCTGTATAAATATAACACCTACTCAAAGTTACACCCTGTCTTTTAGGTTTAGATTTCGACGAGCAAGTGTGTCTCTTGTTATTTTTTCATGGAACTATTAATTTAGTACTTATACTAAATGAATTTCAAATGTTTTATTATTTTGTCTTGGAATAATGTCTATACAGGGTGTCCGGTAAGTACCTCCTAATCTCTTGGGAGTGTATAGGGGAGGTCAAAATAAAACTAGTCCTTCCTATAATTTTTTTTCCTAATGTGCCCCCTAATGGAGTTATGGGGGGTCAAAGGGGTACCTAGAAATTAACGTTTAGGGTTATAACTTTGAAACTATCCTGTATATTTTAATAAAATTTTCGTATGTTGTATTACACATGGAGCTCTACGATTTGATGCTAAAATCAACTTTTTGCTATTATCAGGTGTCCAGAAACGGACTGGCCCTATCACAATTTTTCTTAAAAGTTTGGCAGAAGAAATTTTATCAAACTGAAAATA